CATCAGCGCGATTGACCTCTCTTTCTAGGGCCAATCCATAGTTTACTAGGTATGCATGAGATAGAATAATCATAAATGAATAAAAAAGTTGTATATTACAGGGGCGTAAGATTAACAATTTTCAAAATGCAGCCAGTATTAATATTGGGGAGTTTCGTCAAAACATGACAATAGCGCTACACAGCTGGTGAACACCACGTGTGCACGCGGCAGACTTGTCCTACGGAAAAAATGTAAACAACTATTATTGTGAAACATTTAGTAAATTTCAAGACAATTGTTTTCCAGTTTTTAAATAAATAAAATAAAATGTATCGATTTTGTAGTACGAAGACAGTGTTGTGCTTAAATTTTAGCTCGAATTTTAGTAATTATAAATCTCTTAAAACAGGAACTTAACTTTTAATCAAATTATGAATTTGAAAAGTATGTAATTAAAGTACCCAAAGATTCACGTCGTCCAAATAATCATACGTATTAAAAATAATAATTTAGGGACTTACCAAAACCCAAAATTCAGTAATTTTTAAACGCACAAATGCAAAACAAACTGCAACATAATATGCTTAAAATGTCCACCACCATTTTCGATGCACGCACGACACCTTCGATCCAATTTTCGCGCACTCGCTAGAAAACGCCCCAAGAAAAGGAAATAGTGGTACGCAAAAAACACTCTCGACCTGGTTCAATTCCAGATACCAACTGAATTGCGTAATGCTGGACAGCTTAGTACCTCGTGTTATCCGCCGCGCCGTTGTCACATTGCTCGATATGAATTTTGTCGAACTTTAAATTTATTACAACGCTAATTATTTTTTAGAATTAAGCATAAAGAAGTTCAAAAAAGTAGTAAACATATTTTATGGTAGGTCTATGCACGCAGTTATGTCAATATTCCTTAATTAATCGAACTTTTGTACATCAAGTTGCACATTATGATAGATTTTTTCTCGGAAATGGTTGAGTTTAGGTCCCATGTCATATAAGGTTTTTTTGTTTATTTTAATGTATTTTATCGTCTGTTAAAATTAAGGCAGTCAAACTTCTAACCCCTGTATATGTCTTGTTCGTTTCAGTGATAGAGACGATTGAATCTATTTTTGAGTATATTTTTAACAATTATATTTGCACTGCATTGAATAAAAAAACAATCCGGAATTGTAATGGGAATATTATCGACGGCTAATTAAAATAAAACCTATCTTGACACCAAGAACATGATCCCATAGAACGAGTTGCCAGTTCTATTTGATAAAGAGTACAATGTCACAGGAGATGTGAAAGGATTAATTATTTTGACGCGACATAAACACCTAAAACGTGCCCACACATGCACTTTACATGTAACATTTTAATGGTGCATCATTAAAACGCTTAATTTCACATCTGATCAACTAAAATAGTCACGTAGCCGAGGAACCTCATTAATATTTCTTTTGTGGATGTTCGGGCTGTTACGCCGGATATCCATGGGAAACGGGCTCAAGTTGGTGTTATAAATATTTCTTACTTTTCAAGAGGTCGGTCGATTTCTCACTACATTTTGATCCTCAAAAAATTGTTCTAAATTGAATATGCAGTTATCTCAATACTACCCTTGGTAACTATGAAGAATACCGACTTTATCCCGATTTTAACCTAGATGACTGATTTTCTATGTATTTTTGGGTGCTGAACACGCGTCTGATATCCAAACTTGGCGGACGACCTTTTTTTACGGCAAAAAATAGCGAAATAAGGCAAAAACAATTGTATTGAAAAAAATAAGTGTTTTTCTATATATTTTTGGACGCACATATATTCCGATGTCAAAAAGGCACTTTGGCCTGAGTAAAAAGGAGCAGCAACTCGATTCTATTGAAAAATCTCAAGCGTGTAGAAGAAGAAGTATTCTTTTAAGAATAGCCTAACTTGACCTAACTAGTGCCAACTAAAGTTTGTGCCTGACCAAAAACTTGGTAGGACCCTTACGATATCAATATATTTAGAAAATAATGTTTTCTAACGATTTCCACAATACATTGCAGTGAAAAATCGTAGTAATACTTCCTTGATATAATCAGTGATCGTACCTAAGTTTTTTCAATACTTTTCAAACCACTGACTAAAGTCGGTTTAAAAACTCGAAAACCACTTTCTAGACGAGTTTTTTGATGCTATGGTCAAAACTCGAACTGATCCTGTTATCCTGGAATTTTTCCTAGTTGAAGCAGTTCTATATACTGTGGATGTCTCTATATGTCCATGAAAGTTATAGAATAATCCAAGTGCCTGCGATATACTCGGGTTTCGCCCTACTCTTGGAAAAAAGAGAAAAATGTCAATACTACAGTATTACCTATTTACTCAGTTATTTTTATCATCAAATCACCTTCATGGATTCCAAATGGAGTTTATATTTGATTCAATGAAATGAACAGTTTAGTGTCCAATTGAAAAAACTGTATGTATATAGGGTGTCCGGAAAGATCATGTCAAAAATGAAGGGGTATGCAGGGGAGGTCAAAATAGTTGTAGTACTTAATAAAAAATTATTTCCTATCGGGCTTCGTTGTGGAGTTATTCGCACTCAAAGAAAGAAGTTTGAAAAATAAATTCCAATTATAACTTCTGATATTATTCAATATACCTAGCAGACGAAATTATCTATTTAAAATACATTTTTGACAGCGTTACCAAATTTACACTTTTTTCTTCGATTCCTCTCTCACTTTGCTAAAAAAAGGTATACCGTATTTCAGTCGATATCTTGTACCGTTTTTGAGAAAATCGAATTTTATTAACAAAATGCATTTATTGTATTAAAAATGTGATACTAACATTTTTGAAAAATCTTGGTTTCTATTGAATTAAAAGAGAAAAAGAGAACTGTTAACGAAATAACATGTGATAATTTCTAATGATGTCGGCGTATGTAATTATGCGATTTAATAATTCTTCCCTACTATTTATAGAAGTTTGATAAATAATAATTTTAAGACTGCTCCAAAGAAAAAAATCAAGAAGATTAAGTTCGGGAGATCAAGGCGGCCACGGAAAAGGACTACCTCGACCGATCCATTGATCGGAAAATGTGGTATTTAAAAAATAAGCCTTTATTGTTCCACTAAAATGGGGTGGGGGCATAAGCCACATGTTATTTCGAATATTTAAAGCTCGATTTAAAGGGACGTCTTCTAATAACGGGTGTTCTTGCAGTAAATGCAGGTATTTATCCCAATTTAAAGTGTCATCAATGATATTTGGTCCCACTAAGTAGTTTCCAATTATTCCCATCCATACATTAATGACAAATTTTTGTTGATGTTTTGTTTGAATAATAGCATGTACATTAGATGAAAATGCAAATTCCTCATAGCTAAAATCCTCCATGATATTGAATCAACAAATGGTGTCAAAATGACTTGAACCACTAATTGTACATACTCGTTGATAGTCATCTCAATTTCTATAGAAATCAAGAATTTTACATAAATTATAATATCGCATTTTTTGATACAATGCATGCGTGTTGTTAATAAAATTCGATTTTCTCATTGGTGTAAAATGAATATCATTGAAAATAGGATATCGGTTTCTCCGTGCATACTGTAATAGTTCGTGGATATTTTAACGACTACTCTGTTGCTTTGTTAAAAATTTGACGACACTGCTCTGCTTCAATTTTTGCAAAACACTAGATGAACTACAACATAATTAATTAATCAAATTTGACAGTCAAGTGAAACAAAGAGAGACTATCGATAGTTATTAGGTAACGAACTGTCAATTATTGCTTCTATTTATACGGCTAGATAGATATTTTTTCTAATTTTTTCAACCCCTTCTATTTACATACGTGGTATTCTATTATCTCGTCGGATGCGACCTTAGATCTGATTCATTCCATATTATAGTTAGTTTTTTTTTGGGTTTTGAAATTCTTGAAACCCCTTTGTCAAGTTGGTACTCCGTATCTTCACTGACTCTAAAGTAGATAACAATGTCTCGTCTTGAAATGATAATAGTAGACTCCTTAGAAATCATTTAAAAAAAAATCGTTTGTTTTGTTTACTTGGACGAGACGAATCAGTCCTGACATCCTAAAAGATGGGAAAAGTTGATACCAGAAACTTGATTTACTTTGGTAACTTTGTGTTCTTGTAGCATATCGTAGGGTAAAGATATTGTTTTTTCATAGGTAATACCTCAGTTCTATTATTTGAAAAATCGTGACCAATATCACAAGGCATAAGCATTCTAACTTAGGTGTGAATACAAAATAATTAATTTCCGTGATTGACTTTATATTCCTATATTATTTTATACGAAATTATCTAATACGTGAAGATTTATACAGAAATTCTGAACATTTTAATATTGATAATATTGACATACCAGTTTTCTTTCTATTCATATCTAATTCTATTTTACGTTTTTTCTATTGTTCTTTACTATGGAATAAAAGCGCTAGGGTTTTATTCTTATAATTATGGTTTCACCGTTTTATAAAAATATGTAGTTATTTTCGAGAACTGTGGCCGGCAATCTATAAATTATTTAAAGAAAACTCAGTACTGATTTTATTTATTAGAATTATGAAAATATACCTCGTTCATTCATTAAAATTGCAAACTCATTTTATAAATGGCTCGAGTCCAGAATATCTAAACCGATTGTACGTTTCTATTCTCGAATTTTACTCAATTAAAATTACTTCGATTTCTAAATTTATTTTCCATTCATAATGATTCGCTATCGAGTTTATTTGATTTTTTTTTAAGTGAATCACTATAGAATTTAAAATTACAGCCTGTATATCGAATTCATTGAAAAATAATAAAATTAATGTGTTTTTGATAAACAAATGAAAATCCTAGAATAAAAAATTTACTTGAATTATAACTATTTGACTTGGTTTTAACTTATATGCAGTTTAGAACTCAAGTCAAGTTGTAAACCTTCAATGATAATAATTAAACATAACTGGATTTAATTATTTCCTTCTATTGTTTCAGAATGAAAACATGTCAGCCGGCGACTCAAGCGACAGTTGCAGTGACGGCGAAATGGACACCGAAACACCCCTGTCGGTATTCGTTCCCCCAGACACCCCTTCCTTCAACACGATGTCGCCCCCGTCCTCACCATACCAGCCGAAACAAAGACAGTCCTCACCTTCCACCCCCACACCGTCCTCAACACCTTCGTCTTCTTCGACGCCAACGAAAACTTCATCGACCGCATCTTCGCAACCTCCCATACTGTCCCCTCTGGTCTATCAAACCCCGCAAGGCATGATGTACGCCACGCCATCTACCGGAGGGGTTATCCTGAGCCTGGCGCAGGGTGATCCTAACTCTGCTCATCCGCAGTTCATCACGATACCGTTATCGATGGTGGCCACTAACGGCCAAGGGGAACTAGATCTATCCAAGCGGAAGTGACACGTCTCTGCTCTTCCTTTAAAAGTTTTTTCACCCAGGCCCTGACCAGCCGGTTTCCTTTTCCGGCTATTTCGTACCTTTCACGTTCTCTGCGGCGCGAGGCCTGTGCACTTCCTCGACGAGGAGGTACCGTTTCATTTATTGATCGAGTTCATTTTTATTCTTCATGTACATTTATTTATTATTTTTTATAGCTTTGTTTTTTGTATATAATATCACTGTCGGAAGTTGTCTATTAATGCGCTCTGTATTGTAGACACGTTACTTTTATTTCGCCTTACATTGTATCGCTGTAGACTACTGTTTACTTTTAAGTTTTACTGCACGTTATGAAAAGGTAGACGCCAAGCAGAAATACTGTTTCGTAGTTGAAATTTGCTCAAAATTTTTGTAAAGTATCAGGTCAGTGAATACTATATTCATATATTCAGCATAACAAATGGAGGAAAAATAAAATTGAATGCAGATAACAAGTCACGAAAGTTATCCATTACAGAACATGGATCTAGTACCCAACAAGACTCTGAACCTTTTTTGCGTGTAAAATTTTTATATAAAAAATGCCCAATAGAAGTTTCTGATTTTTCCTGTCTATCCTGGTATTTCAGACGAGTGGGTCATAATTAGCTATTTTCTCGTTTAAAAAAATTAGATCACGACCATCTGTAAACTTGAGTTTCTGGGAAGATGATTCGATTTATGGAAATTAAAGATTATAGTTTTTTATCTACATTAAACCAAACAATTAAAGGGTCAAAAGAATTTCCGAAATTTTTCCGTGATTTTTGACAGACTGTATTTAAGTGAAAAATGGTCGTTTCGAGAATTAAAAAAAAACATTTTGAAGCTCTAAGATTATAGTTTTTGGACTTTCGGTCGAAAATTTTTGGGAGCTACGGTTACCATGCAATTCTAAGAAATAGCGCAACAAAAAAATTTTGCAAATTTTTTAATTTTTTTTTCCGAGTTCACGGACTTGGAAATTTTTTTTTCAGCTAAGCCACTGCATGGACCAGATAGGTTGTTTATTCATCTTTAATTTCCTTTTTTTTTAATTTCGATCCGACCATTATTCAAAATGCTTTTTTTTTTAATTCTCGATACGACCATTTTTCGCTTAATACAGTCTGTCAAAAATCACGGAAAAATTTCGGAAATTCTTTGACCCTCTAATTGTTGGGTTTAGTTTATTTCAAATTGGAGGTCAATACATTTTAAAATTTAAAAAATGGAGCAAAAATAAAAAAGTGGATGAAATGAAATTCAAACTTAACCATCTTATCATCAAATATACATAGTGTTTCATACATAATGGCACATACTTCAATGATAACTTCCTTGAGTGAGAATAAACGATTTACATCAGGTTACTTTACTACAATTTTACTTTCTTGAAAATGTTAGGAACCAAAGAATTTTTTTATTTCATCTTTTTAAAATGATTTTGTCAATTTCTGTTACATATTTTTTTATTGATAAATGTTTTCAGAAGGGGCAGGTATTTCGAAAAATCATTAAAAAGCATATTTATGTTAATATCTCTAGAATGCCTGAGAGTAATTCTAAACTAAAAAATAATTACTTCCTACGATTTAGACCCTATTCAGAGGTCAACAGCAACATCGCAATACTACATTCAGGAGCCTGTATCTCAGTAGTTATTGACAAGTAAGATCGTTTAAATTATAAAAAATATTGATCTAATTGAAAGTGCAACAAAACAGAAGTTTAATTAGACTGGAAATACCTTCAAATTTTTGGCCATTGAAATTCATTTTCTTAGGAACTTTTGGCGATATGAAACAAATATAACCTCTTTTACAGTGAATAAAAGGCAATTCCGTGTTTAAAAATATCTACCGTCAATTGGCAAAAATCTATAAAAAGTGTTCGTAGCGAATTTTATGTTTTATTAACTCATTCATATTTGGTCACTCCAAAACCTCCCATACTAAATTTCATCGAAACCTCTTAAAATGTGAAATGACTTTCTCAATAAAATGTAAAGGAAAAATTTAGTTTGAAGGTTCTAGCTTTTTCACGAAGTAAAACTGTATTGAAGTAACGATCAGAATTGTTTGGTTGTACCTATTGAAGGTCTACGACAATGAGTGAAAAATGTATCACAGTTTCTTAGTTATAACACTATGTCTGTATACAGATATCAAAATAGCTAGTTGATGAACTGATGAGAACTAATAAGGTATATTGGTGGTTCTACTTTAGCTATTTAATAGATACTGTAGGCATGATTTGTGCTAGTCAACTAGTCCATAGACTAGTTGTTTTCCACAATATCATTGATTAAAAATCTCCATCTAAAGGAAGCTACCTTTGAAGTATGTACAATTGTACAATGCGATAAAACGTATGGTAAAATTCCACAAACTTTCCATGATAACCTGTTGCCATGGAATGTTCAAGTGAAATTCATGTATAATCAATATATATTTTAAGGGTTATATTTAATATTACATAAATGTTCCATGAATTTTACTGGAACATTCCACGGCAATAGGTTACCAATTTTTATTACGGTGTACCATTATTTACGAGACACTCGTATTATAATACGAACTCATCACATGTATTGGGAAAATAATGAAATCTGTTCTTTAACCATAAAGATGTTTTTCGTCTGTCATTACATTTTGTACAGTACAGTTTTTTTTATCAAATTTACATTTTTAAAAAACACAACATTAAAGTTGTTTGAAATACCTACATTTTTTTAAGTTTTAATTTAGTTTAAATTTTGCTGTTTTGGCTCCATGGTCAGTGTACTTGCCTGTATCTTTCATTTTGAAGTTATAGAGTACCCTGAAATTGTACTGTTTTTTGGGCTGCCATGCATATAATAGAAAGCCCTAATGAAGCAAAGGTTTGAAGTTACGGGATGTTCAAATTTGAAAAGTATCACATTTATTAATATGTTTGACGTAGACTAATGAAATGAATGCTGACTTGCAGACGCAGATATTGGGAAGCCTACCATTAAAAATCCTAGAATTTCAATATTATTAAATATTTCGAATTCGACTAGTTTCTGTTTCTCAGTATTTCTGGGATTGATTGTATTATATACAGGGTGTCTCGGTACTTGATACAAAAAATTCGAGTACAGATAGATGAGGTCAAAATAATACTAGTTCTTCATATAAATTTTTTCCATACGGGCATTCGTTAACAAATTACGGGCCCTCAAAGTTAGTGATCCATAACACATGCGTACAGCTTGTTTTTGATGTAGTAAGTGAAACTTCATTATGTCCAGAGCGCCAGGGACGGACTATGCCCAATGGTTAACAACCCAGAATTTTTGCATAGATGACGATCGCAATCTGCCTGTATCAAAAATAAGTTCCCTGAAGAATTTGCTATGATATCCTCTTGGTTCAACTCGGTAAAATTAACAGTTTAGGAAATATTTGTGATTTTGTCACAATGCACCTCCACCATTTTTGGTTTTTAATTTTTAATTGGACATAATTACTATGTTAGAACCGTACATATTTTTAAAATAAGAGTCTAGAAAATTTTACTGTCTGCTAATGTAATTTTCACTAACAAAATTTGATAAACACACTACACATAACGCAAAATAGAAAAACAAACAAGAATAAGTTAAAGGAAGTTAAAAAAATTATTTAAAAGAAAGAAAACTATCAAAATACATTATCAGTATAGGCACTTTCCACCTCCACACACTTCCTAAGTCTACGAATGTTATTTGTTTGTACACGAAAAAGCATTTTTGGGGTATGCCTAATATCACAATGGAAATTAATTCTACGTGGCAATTTATACCTTGTCTGTACTGGGGTTGTGAACACTAAACTTGTAAGGTATCCCGACAGGAAGAAGTTCATCTGGTTAAAGTCTGGAGAACGTGGTGGTCATGAAATTAGGCCTTGGAGGATAAATATTTTCGTACATCAATATTGAAATGGGGAGGAGCCCCATCGTGCATGAATCAAACGTTTCTTCGGGTGTCTAATGGAACATTGTCTAATAGTGGCTGCAAAATTTTGCAAAAATTCCAAATATCGATGTCCATTCAGACGTTCTTCAAAAACGTATGGGCCTATTAAATTATTACCCCAGAAATGCTTTTTCGTATACATACAAATAACATTCGTAGACTTAGGAAGTGTGTGGAGGTGGAAGGTACTCACATTGAAAACGTTTTTGGATAATTTTCTTTCTTTTAAATTATTTTTTAAACTTCCTTTAACTTATTCTTGTTTTGTTTTCTATTTTGTGTTAATGTGTAATGTGTAAAGTGTGTTTACCAAATTTTGTTAGTGAGAATTAATGTAAATTAGCAGACAGTAAGATTTTCTAGACTCTTATTTTAAAAATATGTACGGTCTTAAAAATAAAAAATGGTGGAGGCGTCGATGTGCATTGTGAGTACTGTGACATAAAATCACTAATATTATCTAAGCTGTTAATTTTAACGAGTTGAACCTAGAGGGTATTATCGTTGACAAATTCTTCCAGGAACTTATTTTTGATACAGGCAGATTGCGATCATCTATGCAAAAATTCTGGGTTGTTAACCATTGGGCATAGTCCGTCCCTAATAAAGTTTCACTTACTACATCAAAAACAAGCTGTACGCATGTGTTATCGATCACCAAATTTGCATCATGCTGAAGTGAACAGTTTAGAGACTATAAATAAACATAACTTTTTAATTTTCACATTTGAGGGCCCTGTAATTTGTTAACGAAGGCCTGTATAAAAAAAATTTATATGAAGAACTGATGTTATTTTGACCTCATATATTTGTATTCGGTTTTTTTGTATCAAGTACTGGGACACCCTGTATACATAGACTCATTAAAGTTTTACCTTATTATCTTCAGAGATTAAATATGATATATTTTTTTAAATTAACTACTTTTGTGTGTACTACTTATAATTAGTTAAAAATAACAACAAGGTACTACAATTCCAATACCGTAATGGGAAATTTTATGCAACTGTAATTTTATTTTTCATCCATTTGTAACAGTAATATATCTTTTTAAATTTTTACCTGACATTTTTTATCACAAAGGTTTGTTATTAAATGTTTTTTAAAGAACATTTTTAGCCTCTTTTAAAGTTTTTACGACGCAAAGGTCATTAAGTAATAAATTATACTTATTTATGACAATAAATGAAACATGTTGCCAAATGTTAAAGTTGTACTTATTATTTTAATGTTAACAATTTGAATACCTAAGTAGACTGAATAAATGTAATTAACATATTACTGGAGACTATCAAGTAGTTTTGTGTCTTTACTTGATATACATTATACATATATGGACAGTGCATCTGCGGTTAGGTGGTTAAGAAAAGGACATTTTGGGAAAAGTATTCAAATAATGTAAATCTAAACTTAGTCAAATGAATACTTATCGTGTTATGGAAGAATAACGAAAGTATAGATTTTTTTTCAAAATAAAAACCTCAAAGTTTGATAAAAAAATATATTTGAAATTACGAGGGTAAATCAAATATAAATAGGATTTTATTAAAAAAAAGTATTTATTGAAAAATAAAAGGCAAATATAATTTATTTTTCTGCGTAGTTTCCTGCTTTAGAAATACAGCGAAAAGGAGGGTTTTTTATAGGAGCATCGTCATTTTCAAATCGTTGCCCTCCTAGAGCTTCTTCAAGCAGCTCAAACAAATCAAAATCGCAGGGCGATAGGTCCGGGCTCTAGGGAGGATGATCAAGTTGAGTCCAGTGCATTTGTTAGAGTTTTGAGACCATTAGAGCTGCAGTATGGAGTCTGCCTTTGTCGTGGAGGAGGATGACCTTTTGAATCGATTGGTCTCGTCTTTTGCGGCGATATGCAGCCCTCACCTCATTCAACAGCTTACAGTCGTAAGCAACTTTGATTGTGCGTCGCTTATGCCTGGCCGGTCGAAAAAAACTGTT